ACTATACGTAGATATGTACACAATATGTAATAAATTTAATGATCTAAAATTGTTTACTACGCAAAAAAATAAAACACAGTGGATTTAGAAATATGACATCTTGAAAAAGAAAGACGTTGAAATCTTTCCATAATTTTCATTCTTAAAACATGATGTAGTTCTTACATGTCGAAGTTACTATTGTTGTGAATGATTTGTTTACCATTTATATGAACTAAACTGATCACTTTCATTCTACAACCATCCATAGTTGACGTTTGCTTTGAATTTTCATGGCATGTTGCTGGTATGATCTTACTTCATATCACAAATGTTATAGTATCATTCAAGTACATATATGTATTTCAGAGAACGCGCAAAGGCAATCAAGTGTCATAAAATTCACAATGACAGTGTGTTTGTATGAAGAAGCAGCTTCAATTATAGATGCAGCGAAAAAATCCCTTTAGCCATCTCCAATAGCCACAATGTAGTAAAATCAAATTCCTTTTATTCACTCTCATGATTACTTATGCGTTATGTTCACATCAAAACGTCCACATGAGATGATAATTTTCACGCTTCAGTTTTATAAAAAGTAAGCAAAGTGAACAGCCAGCTTCACCATTTTAAAAATGTAAAAGTTCATATCTTCCAATTTTGACAACAGAAGACATTTCAATGAACACGTGACCTGGGTGACGATACAAAGTACAATAACTCCACAGAAAATCATGGTACATAAATTAGCCATTTCTTTCATTACGTCACTTCCTGAAATAAAGTTCTCCTTCTTGTATTATTGTTTGAATAGAGTAGACGATGGAATTTTATAGACAAGCGATAAACATATCAAACTTAGCCAAAGTAACTTGCAATATGTCCACTGATGTTTGAGTTGATGCTGTTAAAAACAATTTCCATAAAGTATTGATTTTTAAAGTAAAAGTGTTCAAACTTTAACAATGCTTGATATCGATTTTCATTAAAGTTAAAACTTGTCATTAAACATCCTTCCATATGCAACATTGTCGTTTGTTTTCTGTCTCTCTAAAATGCAAATCTTTCATTGACTTTTGTTAACTTTTCCTGTTCATACAGTTTGGAGTGTTCAGTCACAATGGTTAAATTGTTTATTACGATGACGAACGTCAATCATAAGTCATTTTCTAGTGGAGTTTACGATTTACTTTTTGGTCAGTGAGAAAGATAGCCAAATTTTAGTTTTTCTTGAAAAAATTTGCAAATGTACCATTGTTTTATTAGAAATTCACGTCTTTCAAATTGATAAAGATGAAAATATTCATATAACCGAAGTAACAATTGGGCTGTCTTTGTCTCTCTTAACAACTTTACACATAGATATTTTGTACATTAAAATGCAATAATTAAAACGTATTAAGAAATTATTTCAGTGCAAGATAGTATTGATTTAATTAGTAACAACTTGTTTTGGTGTAAAGAGTATCGAAAAACGTGCAATATTAAAACCATCTACACTGAATACATTTGCATGAAAATTATATGTTTACATGGTGTAGATATAAACAAAATATAACCAATGGTACAATAACTAACAAAAGTTTGAATTTTATATGTTTGTGTGATAAGATAAAAGTCAATAAAATTATTTTCTTGTGCAAGGAAAATTATTATCTTAGACACAATATCATTTGTGTTTATGGTCATTGAATTTTCATCTATATTGTCATTGAATTTTCATGTTTATTGTCATTGAATTTTCATCTTTAATTAACTTTAGCTTTTATACATGATCTCTCTAAATGTTGACATTATTGTACACCGCGGTCTCTGTACAGAACAATCAATATTAGACAAGGTTGTTTCTCATGAAATCATACGCAAACAGACAATTAGAAATGTCAACAATGATAGGGATCATGCATAAAAACTAAACAAGATTTTCTTAAAGATAATATAGTCATTATCCAAAATGGTGAGAAATTTTATCATCAATGATCAAATTTATCCACGTGGCAAGATGATTTTTACGCATTGTACTGGGATCTTTAAGGAAGAAAAAATTAAAGCAAGTTTGCGTTGACGACAGTAATGAAAGGTTTTATGAAGTATACTCCAATGCGGGTGAATCAATTTAACCATCTTAAAATATTTCAAATCAATTAAATTTAAATCATGATCATGACAAATTATATACCTATCATCAACAAAGAGAAACTCAGAACCCACAGGAGAACTATAAATAATTTGCATGTTTTTAACGTCAAATACTGCCATATACACATGCTTGTAAGTTATTAATAAATTATCTGCTGAAGGTGAAAAAGCAGCGTAAGTTATACAGCTAGTAATATTATACAGGTACTTTCCAACGTCTTTGTCGACGACTAAATTGGCGGCTTCCTCCTTAATTACGTCATCCCAACCATTAATAAATTTGTCTTCATGCCACATACAGTAAATTATCTGATCCTTAAATTCAACTTTAGCAAACACGTGATACTTAGAGCTACATGCAAATACGTGCACATTTCGATAATTTCAAAATTCACTGATATTTCTTTTCGCTTGTTTTCAACATTGAAAACACAAAGAATCAGTTTTTGACAAACAAATGATACATCACTCACCTCAAAAATTTTGTTTGTACCTTTTAGTTCATCGAAACTATAAACAAGTTTTGTCAAATCATTATTCCAAAGCTCAGGAATATTTTTGCCGTAAATAAAATAACTCCATTTTCTACAACAACCATGTCACCTAAAAACATTCCTTGACAACAAAGTCAAATGTGTTGAGATTGTATATAATTATCCTTGGATTTTCTTCATTACTCCGATACAGAATTTTCCATTTGAGCAAAACTTCTCGTTACGAAAACTGTAATTGTTGGTTAAACATGCGCGGTATTGAATAAAGATAAAAGTCATAATTGTAATTAAACAAAAGGTCGTTATTTAAAAGTACTTAAAAGGCCCAAAAGGAAAAGACAGTATCAGAAAGGGATCGAGGAGGTAGGTTTGAAATCAGGATCAAGTCAGGAAGTTTCTCACCAGTGGGATTTACAATGAAATGTTCCTTCCTATAAAAAGGATGGCAACAACACCAAGAATGAAGACCAACAGTGGACAAAACACAAAACTCACTTAAATTATCAGGCGGTAAATGATCGTCGTAAACGAACGTTTCATAATTATTCGCTACATTAAATATTTGAACCACTCTTTCTTCCTCAATAACACACAAATATCTTCCAGAATTAGAAAAACACAGTGAGGTCACATTATTACATCTAATACTGCGTTTCTTTTCGTTTCTCAACGTCCCATACTGTCAAAGTATCTTTGTAACTAGTGACCATTGTGTACTTATCCTTAGAAAACGCATTTGTTGGTAAAGAACTTAGAAGTA